ATAGAAATTTGAATAAGTTTCTTCAAGATTTCTATAATTTGTTTTTATATATATTCGAATCATATAGAAAATGTATAGGACATCTTATATACGATTTTGTGAAGTTTTTGGACCATTATATTATGACTCTTATAAGATTTATTTTTTAGCTATTCTATATTTTTATAAACAAATTATAAAAGTTTATAAGATTATATAAGATTCCTCTGAGGTGTTTCACAGGGACTTTATAAAGCTTTATAGAAAATGTATAGATATATTAGATTTCTACATAGATGTAGATATTTTATGAATATCTGTATAAATATAACCCCTATGTTCATCTATAGAGCTAAAACATTATTTATTATGACACATGACACAATTTATGACTATAAAATAGAAATTTACGTACATGTCAATGATTAAAGTTAAAAGTTAAAATTATATGCATTGCAGAATTCGTAGATGACTACAACGACAACAGAGTCTAAATGTTTGAGAAAAGTTGTCAAAAATTATCATTATATCAATATGATGTCAAAGCTATTACTTTCCTCACATCATACTTAGCAGATAGATACTAGTTTGCAAATGTCAAGGTTGCCCATTCTTAAAATAGAACTGTGACTACTTGGCCCTTTAGGCGTTCATTCTAGGTCTTTTATTATTTCCTATTCAGTTTAAAATAATGACCTGTCACTTGAAGTTCGTCACACAGAAATTTATATGTATGCGGTCGACTACACAGTCCAAAACTGTATCTGAGATGAATTGTAAGCTTACTGAAGATTTCAATATGATATCATGGTGGTGTGATAAAAACAAAATGGTTATAAACACTGACAAAACTAAATCTATGTTGATTACAACCTCCCAGATGTTGAGAGATTTATCTTCTTCTCGTCGAGATCTCAATGTCACAATTAAGGGGAAACCAGTCAAGAACACAGCATCTGCAATGTTTCTTGGTGTTATTGTGAACACAAATCATAGTTGGAAGGATCAAATTAGGAAATGTTGCAGAAAGTCTAGTGCTAATTACTAATATTGAGCTACTTTGGCACATCAATAAATATTTGTCGTTTCCTACTAGTATTACATATTACAACACTTTTATTTGACCCCATGTTTCATATTTGTACGGATTTTGCGGCTTGTCTTCAAGTATATCAAAATTATTACGGTTAAAATAACTTGCAGTTCGCCTGATTATTGATTTTTAGGAAGAGACTAACATAAAGTTCTTTTTAGATCTCTTCCTTGGTTAACAGTGTAAGATTTTGTAGATTTTCGGAAAGCAACTATGGTTTCTAAGTCGCTTAATAATTTAGCACCTCTATATGTGTTCACATATACTAAAGATATTGCGGGAGCAGGTGTGTGGAATCAGAGCTGGAAATTAGGCAAATCGGATAGAATGAATATTTTTAAACAAAGACATTTAACGAAATTATTTAATACATTTTAACCACATTCAATTTTAGATCACATTTGTATATAGTTTATCATTTTAATTACTTCCTCTAGTTGTGTATTATTTTATTTAGGACAATATGGAAGATAAGGTAAATAGGTCCAGACCACACAAAAAAGTTTGCTTTTGTTGGATTTCGGCATTCCCATGATGTATCCTTGGAAGGAAAAGATGTATAATGATACATACTCAGACAGTACGCCGCGTACCGACCTCTGCTGCGCGTCGGTCCATATTCCAGCTGTACTGTCTTAGTGCATACTTTGAGGTATTCTCGTAATAACCTCATATTATTATTATTATTATTATTATTATTATTATTATTATTAGTGGTATCGGAAAAACTTGTGCACCAAGAAACAAACATTTCGAGTAAAAAACAAAATAGACATATTTTGAAGAACACATTCAAAAGTGGTATTCAACCAATTTCTGATGTCATAACATTTGCGGCCAGTATTATGAGGCAAGAAATACTTTCGTATGAGAGGCTAGCGTTAATATCTATCAAACAATACTATGATTGTCGTTACTGTAATATACTGTAAAATAGAACTATAATATGTTATAATAGTAAACAATTACTTATACATATGCATATTAACTTAACGTTGTGTACTATATAATAGAATATATATAATTTTAATTTTAAACCATTTTTTTACATTTTACAGGCGGTCCAAACATGTCAAAACAGGCATATATTTTGATACCCAAGAAATACTTTTATTAGCAATATATTCAGATGTTTACTTATCATAAAATGATTTGGCCTTTGATGGGTAGTCCAAAGGCCTTAGCTCTTATACCAAATATTCTACAGTTTGGACATCATAGTATCACAAAAACATGTGTAATTTATTTCAGTGCCTGTGAGATCCGTCAATATTGTGGGGCATTCAAATGGTAATACAGCATATGTAGTAGAAGGGTCAGTGTCTGCATTTACATGTAGTGTTATAGGCACCAAACCATCAGCTGATATAGACTGGTTTATAGGAACACAATTATATCAGGGCACACTAAGTGTAGAGAATGACGGGAAACTACGTGATACAACAAGTGTGTTTACATTTACACCAAACTTAGACAATGATGATGATAAACAACTACAGTGTAAAGCTAGTAATACCGATGAAAGGTCACCAGTGATGACACATGTCAAGTTATATGTAAAAGGTAACTTTAAGCTAAGGTTTATTGAACCACAACTCGCAATTTAATATCGGAATATTTTTTAGCGTTTATATGTCTATTGTATTTTATAACATGTTTTATGCTAATTGTACGTGATATTTTCGAAATCAGACCTCGGATATCGCACCTTTTATAATTGGTTTGATTGTTTTCACGAGATATAACATTGTACGTCACTTTCTGGTCATCTTCAAATCACAACTTCAAACATATACTCTTGAAGGAAATAACTTCATAAAATAAAGTATATCTAAATACATTTATATACCACCATAAGCTGTTTCCGTATTATTGTTTTTATCCCTGTCAATTTACTTAATTTGACTCGCGGCGAAGACTATTTGATGTAGAGATAAGATCTCCATTTTCCCTTCACAACTATTGCCTAAATGCTCGAAATGTCACGTAAACATTATCTCACTATAGCATAACATGATAACATAATTATCACCAACTATTAGGTATAGTTTCATACATAAATATATTCGCAAGTGATTACATATACAGCAATAATTGCTAAATAAGTATTCAATTTGTTTACCGTCTGTATATTTTTGATATTATGTTAATACAGATGTATGTATTCGAAAAACAACAACATGTACACAACCGATAAACTTGATATTGCCTTTTGTAATAAGGTGGAAAACTTTCTTCTATATGTTACACTGGTCTGTAATATCATGAAATGATATTCACAAAATAGACTGTCAATAATTTATAAAACTTTAAGTATATGATACTTACATAAAATAAATATTTCACTATAGTTCCTGTGCTGGACAATCCTCTTATCTCAGACACTACGAATGACTATCTTACTGGTTCTACTGTTATTGTTACATCTGGCGAATCCTATACATTTACATGTACTGCTGGTGAATCAAGACCTGAATCAACTATAACATGGTATTTAGGGAGTACTCTAATGAATGCGAACGCACCCACTACAACCACCAATGGGAAATTGAAAACAACAATAAGGTCATTGACATTTACACCTGAACGGAGCAATCATAATGAGCAGTTAAAATGTAGAGCTGGCAATGACGTCACAGATCCATATAAAGAATCTTATATTGTACTTGATGTCTATGGTGAGCATTGTTTATTTATGCGGAAATGTACATTGATGTACTGAATGTACTGAACAAAAACTTTTCCTCAAAAATTGCAAATTCTATTTACAATTATTTACACAGCTAAGATACAAATTTTGAAAAATACTTTTTAAATGAACTAACGGATTATGAATTAATTTAATTTTAAATTTGTCCCATTACATAACCCAAACACCAGTATTTAATTGTTTGGTGAATGGCAGTTTTTGATACAACCAGAAATTCAAATAAATTGTCTGTATGTTCAAATTTCAAATTTGCGTACGTTTTACGTTTTTTTTGTACTGTTGTTACGAAATATGGAACATTTTCTGAGAAGAAAAACAAGGTAATTAATATTTTTCATATTTAAAAAAGTCGAACAAAGAGTGTTGAAGCTATTTCAAATTGCATTTTGTGTTAAATGTGCCAAAACAAACAAAGATGATTCCTAATAATAATAATTAAGTAGGTGAAGTGGGTGGGGATTACCTGTTTGTACCGACTATTGATTATCGTAAAAACATTACGAGCTAGCAATAAACTAGCTATAAATAATTTATAATTAATTATCAGCACATATTATTGAAACATGTCGTCTCGATTCATTTCATTTTCGACTAACAGTACTTATCTGCCAACGCTTGTTAAATAACCCTTAGTTTCAGCTTACATATTCGCATTTCCGTCTGAGGCAATCGTGACAGAACAATCCAGTACAATAACGTTGTATTGTGAAGCTACCGGGATACCAGATATTGTTACATATACGTGGCGAAAGGCCAACAGGGACATCAAAATAAGCGGTAGATACATTCTGAATGATGGATCATTGACTATTAATAATATTGTAAGAGAAGATGACGGTGTATATACATGTTATGCTAGTAATGGTGTAGGACAACCAGATAGTGCATCAGCTACAGTTACTGTATATTGTAAGTACTGATGTATGTGTAGTGTATTGAGGGTTATTTAGTGTTAGTAATATTGTAAAAGAAGATGATGGTACATATATATACATGTTATGCTAGTAATGGCATAGGACAACCAGATAATGCATCAGCTTCAGTTACTGTATATTGTAAGTACTGTTGTATGTGTAGTGTATTGGGAGTTATTTAGAGTTACTAATATTGTAAAAGAAGATGATGGTATATAAATACATGCTATGCTAGTAATGGTGTAGGACAACCAGATAGTGCATCAGCTACAGTTATTGTATATTGCAAGTACTAATGTATGTGTAGTGTATTGAAAGTTATTTAGTGTTAGTAATATTGTAAAAGAAGATGATGGTATATATACATGTTATGTTAGTAATGGTATAGGACAACCAGATAGTGCATCAGCTACAGTTACTGTATATTGTAAGTACTGATGTATGTGTAGTGTATTGAGAGTTATTTAGTGTTAGTAATATTGTAAAAGAAGATGATGGTATATATATATATATATATATATACATGTTATGCTAGTAATGGTGTAGGACAACCAGATAGTGCATCAGCTACAGTTACTGTATATTGCAAGTACTGATGTATGTGTAGTGTATTGAGAGTTATTTAGTGTTAGTAATATTGTAAGAGAAGATGATGATATATATACATGTTATGCTAGTAATAGTATAGGACAACCAGATAATGCATCAGCTACAGTTACTGCATATTGTAAGTACTGTTGTATGTGTAGTGTATTGAGAGTTATTTAGTGTTTGTAATATTGTAAAAGAAGATGATGGTATATATACATGTTATGCTAGTAATGGTGCAGGACAACCAGATAGTGCATCAGCTAAAGTCACCGTATATTGTAAGTACTGATGTATGTGTAGTGTATTGAGAGTTATTTAGTGTTAGTAATATTGTAGGAGAAGATGATGGTATATATACATGTTATGATAGTAATGGTATAGGACAACCAGATAGTACATCAGCTACAGTTACTGTATATTGTAAGTACTGTTGTATGTGTAGTGGATTGAGAGTTATTTAGTGTTAGTAATATTGTAAAAGAAGATGATGGTATGTATACATGTTATACTAGTAATGGTATACGACAATCAGATATTGCATCAGCTACAGTTACTGTATATTGCAAGTACTGATGTATGTGTAGTGTATTGAGGGTTATTTAGTGTTAGTAATATTGTAAAAGAAGATGATGGTATATATAGATGTTATGCTAGTAATGGTATAGGACAATCAGATAGTGCATCAGCTACAGTTGCCAAGAGCAACGACAAGAAGAGAAGTAACCAAGCTTTTTATCCTTACATTCACGAATGTTATGTTAATAAACAGTGTTGCTTTCGCAATCACTATTGTTTAATTCCAGACGCACCTGTGATCACTGGTACTACGGAATACTATTGTGAAACTGGTGAATCAATATCAATGAATGTATCTGTAAATGCAAACCCATTACGTGTGACTTTTGGTGATTGGATAAATGATGACGTAGTTCTAAAGGACAAAATAGATACAATCTCCACGAGTACGGTATTTATCGACGAAGTCACGGAATTGCATTTTGGCTTATATAATATTACTGCACGTAATGACATTGGTAGAGTTACACTTCAGGTAGAATTATATCGTGAAGGTGAGCGCAAAGTTACATATCTGGTTGTGAAAGTACATATACCTAGCATTATTATGACATAAAAAACTGATGTAACGATTTTATACAAGATAAGTAAAAGTCAGATACTATATACTTTTTGACTTCCCAGATTTCATACATAGATTTGGTTGGTCGAGGTGTATTGTAATCATGTTGTAATTATTGTTGACAGGTGTGCCAAAAATACCTACAGCCATAACTTTAAATGACCGTTCTTATGATAGTTTAT